TCTAAGTACGCCTTTCCAAGTGCGGAGCCATAGTTTGGTTCTAGCCAGGGCGCGGACCTCTGCGGACAGATCCCGAAAGGGACGTGCAGTGGTGATTTCACCTTTTTTGATCGTCTTGAAAAGGGGGGCCATCCCTTTTTCTTGGGCTCCCTGCAACCACGACCTGTACGACTTGGTCTGGGCATCCTGGTGAACTTTAGAGGCCAGCAGAAATTGCTCCTGCAATAATTGCTGGACGGGCTCGGGAACAGCAGCCTGCTCCGAGAGACAGGCCTGGAGCGTAGAAAGAAAAGAAACAGCCTCCTCCGAGTTGCCCTGCCAGTGGTCCAGGATCTGCGGCAAATACTCCTGGCATTGCTCTCGACGTTTGGGGTGGTCTCCCTGGCACAGAAATTGTACCCGGTGCCAAAAAGCCTGGCAAGAACCTTCCCATGCGAACTGGGACATGCGAGGAACAGCTGGGAGGAATTCAACTTGGAGTTGGCGACCAATACCCTGGGACGATTGCAAAAGACTGTGCTCCACCGAACTGGAAATGGAAGCCAGTCGATTGCTCAGGGGGTCAGCCGAAAAGGTGGTATCCGGCAAAGAGGCGAGGGTCTCCTCAACCTGTATATAATCAAGCGGTTCTTCCCTGAAGGAGAGCACAAAGGAGGGAAGCTGTGGAGTGGTGAGCTGGAAAGCGCCCACATTGAGGGCAACTTGGATTGCTGCATGTGGCTTGAAAGGAACATCCCAGGAGGCATCAACCCGGAGCAAACCTTCCAGGCAGTGTGATACAGCCAGAAAATCAAGCTCATTGTCACCACAGGTGGCTTGGTTGGGCCCAATTGGTTCCAGGGACAAACTTTGAAAAATGGCAGTGTCCAACAAATCCTTCAAAGGCGAGTTCCAGTCTCCACCTATCAGGATTGGGCCCCTCACAGATTGACGAATTGCGCGCAGAGATGCAAGGATGTCAGAGTTGACCGGGGACCCGAAGCCGGAGGAAGACTGGAGGTACAGGCTAACTACTGTCAAGTCAGCCCCTTGTGTGCGTAGCGTCACCGCCACGTAGCCACAACCTTGGTTGGTATACTGACCTCGCAAACGGGCTCCCAGGTGGGCTCTAACTAAAACCCCAACTCCGCCCCTAGAGCTATTCCGTCGGCCTTCCCCAGGGGCTGCGGGCAAAAGGAAGGAGTCGAAGCCCATGGCAGCCATAGACGAGATTTCAGCAACAACTTGGGACTCCAAAAGATGGTGCTCCTGAATCAAGATAACATCCCCTTGAGCTGAAAACCATTGCTTGACTTCTGGTCTCCAAGAAGTAATGTTGCAAGATGTGACTCGCATTTGCCTGTGCCCCTGTGGCTGCGATTTGCACAAAACTTCAAAGCCCCGAGCAACAAGCAAGAGCAAAGTCAAGTCAAAAGAACGTTGGAGGGCCAAGATCTCCTGGCACAGCCACCAACCTAAGCTGCCCTGCTCAACCTGATCAAGAAGGTGGCCGACAACCTCTGAAGTTGCTCCCAACAGATCTGGGTTCTGGACAGCCTCCCACACCTGGCCTTCGAGTTTTCGCCACTGGCTGTGTGGGCTTGCCAAAGGTGGCACCTCAGGTGGCATTTCACAAGGGGCAAGCTGAGAAAAGGGTACCCTAATGTGTTTGGGCTTTTTCGCTCTGCGTCTGGTTTTATTACGTTTGCGGGTGACCCCAACCTCGGCATGGCTCCCCGACGCCTGTAAGCGAGGAAACTCCTCAACTTGAGATGCCGTTGCTGAGGTTGTGGCCACAAAAGCAGAGATTGGAGAAGCACCGGTCACAGGGACCTCATCAAACTCAGTTGTCGAGAAAGATGGGGGCCAGAACTGGGGCCCTGTGATGAGTTGGGTGTCCTGGGACTGCAGCGGGGTGCTGTGGCGCAATCCTTTGGTAACAGTCTGCCAGGCACTCAGATCCCCACAAGAATCCCATTCTTCCTGACCAGAAAAACCTGGCAACCAAAACTGACCCCATACAAGGTCTGTGTTGCAAAATTGTGAGTAAGCCTCAACATACCCTGAAACCTTCTCTAAGGACTTGGGCTGCTGAGGTTGGCACTCCCCCAATGAAAACAAATCACTGTACAAAGAAATGGGTCGCTTAACCGATTCGCCGGAAAACCCGCATGGCTGAGAGCTGGACGCAGGGGCACAGGAAACGTCTTGATCAAGCTGAAGGGCAGGCTGAAATGCACAAGCAGGTTGCCCACTCTCCCCACTTAAAGGACCTTCCTCGAAAACAGACCTAACCTGGACCCCCAGCCCCACTCCCTAACCTTGCTGCGTGCTACGGCCTCGGCTCCTGGACCTGGGCTTGGCTTGCTCATGCGGCTCAGTGCCCTTGTGTTCTGGCAGAGTTTGGCTCAGCGGGGCACGGGTCGGAGCCGTCAAACCAGGCTGGTTTGTGGCTTCAACTTCCATATTCTGCTGCCCATCATTAAGCTTGCCGCGCTGGGCCTCCTCGTAAAGCTCCTTCTGCTCCTGGGTCAGGACAATTCCAACTTTGGCAAGCGTATCTAGAAGCCCTTCCAAGGGATCGTCCTTGCGCGCGGGGTCCTCCAGACCCGAAGCATCAGCACGGAGTGTGGCTTCCAACTCCGACTGCATAGCCGTGACTTCAGCTTGTTTGCTCTGCAAATCAGATTGGCAAACCTTCATCTTCTCAAGCAGCTCCTGGTAGGTTGCTTTGGCGCGGTCTATGCGAATCTGTAAGGCAGCAGTTTGCTGGATCATCAGTCGCAAGTCCGTAGTGCTCTGCTTAAAGCGACGAGTTGCAATCTCAATCTGCTGAGTCTGCGTGGGGGCCGGAGGATCAAGTGCTGCAAGGGCTTGCTGGATCGAAGGCGGCATTGACTCCAAGTGCTTCTTGCAAAGGGCCGCAAGGTCTGTTGGCTCCGACGCAACCGGCTCAGGGATGCCAGCTTGGCGCATCAGCTTCTTCTGATCATCAGACGCAGAATCCCACAGGTTCTTAGAGGCTTCGGCCTGCTCGTCAAGCCCACCCTTTGCCCCGTTGCCTTTTCCAGACTGGAGGCCTGGAGGCGGACTCGGCTGCCGGCCTGCTTGGAAACCTGCCTCGCTCAGTTCCTTCTGGACCTCTGGGGGAAACTTCTGCCAAAGTGTCGTGACGGCTTTGGAGAGGTTGCCCTCTTGATTCCTAGGCCGTTGGGGGCTTTGGGTGGCACTCTCAGTGGTTGCGCTTCTGTCCCTGTTCTTCTTGGGACCCCGCGGGCGCAGTCTTTGAGTGACCGGAGCACCCTTTGTCTTCCATGCGTTGCCACACAGGTTGCAAAAGGGGTGGTGCTGGACTCTGTCTACGAAAATCCAGCTCTGCTTACCCGCCCTAGAGCAATGAGGACAGACGATGTAGGGCGTTGCTGCACCCTTGGCACCGTTTTTTCCCCAAGTCATGGCGAGCAAGCTCAACCTGTGACAACGGCTGAGCAAGTGTGCGGCTCTGAGAGCACGTGCAGTATGGCGCTACCCCGCCCCAACCCTTGCTGGACAGCCAGCCTACGACCTTTAAGGTTGCGGTTTGGGTTCCAGTCAGGGCCTTTAGCAAAAGAAGGGACTCCAGGCTAAAAGGTCACGTCGGCACTGCAAAGTCTGAGCCGAAAACTTGAGCCAGGTGATTGAAAATCAACTCCCCCTCATGAACCTGTCGTCGAGAAAAAGTATCGGTCCACTGGCTGCTGTTGCGTATTGGGCTCGTAGATCTTCTCACGGTCCACGATAGTTTTATGGCTCTTCCAAAAACGGCTGCGGCTGTACAAAGAGGCGTCAGCACCTACCAAGCACTCAAAGCCCTAAGAGCTGTGTGAGCAAAAGCTTCGGGGTAGTGCTGGGTGTTCTTCAGAACGAACATCTTACTATGCTCGTGGTTTCCAGGGCACTTTAATTTATCCATGCAGTGAATGAGAACATGACTGTTCGAGCACAACCTCCAAACCTTCTTCACAGGAAGTGCGTCCATTCCAACCATACCGCAGGCGCAGCCATGCACAAGAGCGGTCTCATGCGGATTGATCTTAAGGAATGACTTCGTAGCGGACCATCCCCAGTAAGCACAACGTTGCGGCCACTCAATGACCCAAGTTGCCGAATCAGATGTGTTGACTAGCTTCAAGAAGCTCTTCCAGAGCTTTCTGTGGACTGTGAAGAGTCCCTTAATTCTATCATCATAGTGATCTGCAGATCGGGCTTGGTGATACCGCTGCCAAGGCGAACCACCGGTACAGGGCGTCGAAGCCCACACAACAACATGCATGTTCCGACGGTGCGCCGAACGAAGCGCATGCTCAATGAGCTCGATGGTCTCCGGAAGAGTCCCATCCGTTTCTTCCGTCACGGGAATAGCATGGATGCCATAGTGGCTAGCAAGCTTAGTCAACCAGGCTTCTCCAGAGGTGCAGAACTCGACCATCACAATGTAATGCGGTGTCTGCAACCGACAACGACCAACCAACACACTCCAAGGATCATCGACGCTTGCAGAAAACAGACCTTTGAACGCGGCAAACACAAGGCAACGGACCGGGGGCGCATCACCTCGAAGATAGTCACTACGGGTGAGACGTTCCTCAAGACACAACTGTCCTATATGATACCAAGTTTGCGCGACACTCAAGTTCTTTGTTTGCAAGTCGGCGACGTTATCCGTTCCTGGGACGTGTGTAACCAGGATCTCGCCGTTCTCAACCTTATCCTGCAAGTAGCTTTTTTTGACTTTGAAGCGCAATCGCTCGAGAGCGATTAAGCGAAGGGCATCGGTATCAGAGTGTATTACTCCAATGCCGCGGCAGCTACTGGGCTGCAGATCATTGTTGGATCTTCCCAAAGGCTAAGGACCCCGCTGCGTACAGCCAAGCAGGTCCGACAACTAAGACTGTACAACTAGTTTGACGAGTGAAGGCTAAAGGAGATGCAACGTTTGTGTAACAGCAACTCCACCACTAAGCAAAAAGCGTGACTGATTTTCAGTCGGCGCGCTGCAAGAAAATGATGTATGCGTTTTGCTGGATCCCCACAAGCTCCGAGGACTTTACTTTGCGAGCCGTGGCGTTATCATCAGTGTAGAAGGACTGCGCAAGCACGCCATTCGGTGGCATCAAAATTGAGCGATAGTGACCGCTGTCGGGTGTGGGACCGTGATGCCCTGCACAAGCTCTCACAAAGTACTTAACGAAGTACACATCTTGCAGATTGTCGCGAAAAGCAGGAATGTGCACTAAGGGCTCCAGGCAAAGCTTGAAGTCGGTCTTAATGCAAGCTCCATCATTCGTGCTGTCAAAACGGCCCACTTGAATCGCACAAAACTTTGGCGGCTTCAGGAGAGCCTGTGGTTCCGCCTGTTGATGCCAGCACGATATCAAGTCTTGCAAGCAGCACTCCGAACACGGTGTGGGATCATCGGCGGCTGATGCGGGCCTGTTTGCAAGCAGCATGGGCCACGTGTGGCCCTCATCCACAACCTCCAAGCCACGATGGGGCGCGGACCCCACAGTCCCCCACGAACCGTCGATTAATGAAGCATTGAGCCGTGGACGCATGTAGAGCAAAAACTCCGCAATGTCATGCTGCCTCCGAGGTGCTCGCCAGGTACGGGTGGCACTAATCCAAGGCAGTACAGACCAAATGTCAACTGCTCTGCCAGCCTGAACCAAGGATCGCAGCGATGATCCCAGAGGACCTTCGAAGAGCTGGCATCCGAGGAAGGTTTCACTCCACACAAGGCTCGAAAGTAAGGTGTTGGCATAACAGCTATTGCGACCTTGATTAAGGAGTTTCCATGCTCGGATTTTGGATCGCGTGGCATCGGCTTCAAACTGAGTGTGGCGCCCACCCGAGTCCGCCGAGGAGGAGCATCCTCCTACACCCTGCCCTGTCAAGCTCACCAGTTCAACTTTTTGGCTAGTGGCTGCAACTCCAGGCGCTCGCGACGCATTGTCATGCCGATAAGCTGAAGACATCCCGCTCCGCACAAGTCCTGAAGAGCCTGAAATAGTTGGTGCGACGTCTGGCCCTGAAGGGAGATCTGCAACAGGAATGGCATCGTGTTCTCCACATTCTCTGTCAGCTTGCGAGTCGCTGCAAAGCGGTGGATCATGTGGTCCATGTTCAACGCTCGAAGGATCGATGTGATGTGCTGCACCAGGGAGTCGTGTGGGACCTGTCGAACTGGATCCTCCGGAATGAGGCTCTCGTGAGTCTGTGACCACTTCAGATACTGCCATTGCATACCGTCCCGGCTGAGCCAACCGTGCTTGCGGGCTGTGGCGATGTGGCCCTCGTTCATATGCTCCATTCGATCCTTCAGGACAGTGAAGACCTTCATGAGGAGAGCCTGGCGCAATGTAAGATTCTGAAGGGTACCCTGGGTCTTCGCCTCGTTCCAAAGCTTGCTCGCTTGAAACACCTCTCTCAGGATGCCGTCCGGGCCCGACCTCATGTGGAGAACGAACCCTCGATCCACACGGAGAGCAGCTAGCTCCCACTCGTGGCGCACCAGCAGCTGCCGAAGCAGCTGGATCTCCTGCTGTGTCACATACATGTCCGAGTAGCCCTGATAGCCTTGGTAGCTCGGATAGCTCGGATGCCACGACGTTGGTGCCAGCTGCCACGAGGGATCCTGAGACGACTGCCACGGTGTCTGATGAGTGCCCTTTCCTTTGCCCTTGTTCGGGCCCTTTCCCCAATAGCCGCCGTGCCCTCCTTGACCCTTGCCCTGATGCTTCAGCTTTTGGCTCTGGTTTTGGCTTAGCGGAGCCCCTCTTCGCTTTGGCGGCATCGGGTGTGCCGACGGCGGGTGGCGGAAGGACGGGAACGGGCTCGGCAGCGGTTGGTTGAACACCGACTCGAACTCCATCAGAGGCGATGGCTCGGGTTCCATGCTCATCTCGGAAAACATAGCCGTGGTGTGCAGCTAGCAGCCGCGCAGCAAAGAGCACAGCGCAGGCCTCGCGGTGGCGGATTCGTGCCCCCTTCCAAGCAATGCCACACAACTGGCACGGGGATTGGATAAAGTAAGACGACTTACGACAGACTTCAATGACCTCTTGAATCAAGTCCTGTTGGTCCCCATGTTTTGTGCGCATATGCTTCTTGACTTGACCGCTACTGTTGGCAACCCAAAGGTGACAAAGCGGGCAGTGTGCCAGTGCAACTTCTCTAAATCCTGGGGATTGAGCCAATTGCAGCCAGCCCCCCTCGCTGAGATGTTGGATCGTGCTCGGCCTGTCCCTGAGCGGAGTGCTTTCAGTGCTCGCTTCTTTCGGGAGCGGCGGATGCTGTCCGTAATCCCTGCTATTGTTCGTGTATCCGTGCAGGACAGGGCATGCTTGGGCCTCGATATGTCTACGAAACTGAGGTATGCCAGAGAAGGACTTACGACAGTGTTTGCAAGTGGGCATGCCCGCGTACGAATGTTCTTCGAACTTGAACGGTGCAGCTGTGGCCATGGCAAGCTCCCTCTCAGAAAGGCCGTGAATCGAGGTCATATGGTACCTCAAGGCCGTGGTGTCAGCAGCTTGGTAGTCACAGACAGGACACACCAGGTCAGCATGGGCACCCGTTTCAATCGGAGCCGAAGGTATCGTCTCAGTGGGGGTCGGGACCTCAGAATGTGTTGTGTTTAGCACGGCTACCGGGTCCTCCGGGCTATTCTGAGCTGTGGGCTCAGGTGGGCAATTGTCCTCCTGTATCACAGCAGACAGCACAGCCGGCGGTGTCACCGCAACGGCTGGTTGGGAGGGAGTAGGGGGCTTCCTACCTGGCACTTCAAGTGAGCTCCGAACAGCCTCCCAAACCTGTGTCAGGCCCTGTGGCTGCAATGCGAAGACCTGTGATTGACTAGTGCGTTCATGTCTGGCCTTTGCCTTGTCCAGTAGCATATCCGCAGGGTGTGGCAGCTCCAGCCTGAGCAGAAGGGCCGAGGTGGTTTCCTTGCTGATGTGAGACGGCGAGTTGGCCATAGCTCTCAAGTGTCGCACAGCCGTGGCATAAAGCTGACGGCGTCCAACAATGTCGAGGCCTGTGCAATCAATGCCGTAGCACAGCGTGGTCCACACCACTGCCCTCCACAAGCGAACCCTGCAGCGCAAAGAAAGTCTACTGGTGCGCTTAGTAGCCACCTGGATCCTCGCGAAACTGGCCTGGGCGCAACGTGTTCGATATGCAGCCGTTTCACGTTCCAAGTGGTTATAAGACAACATTACTCCTAGGTATTTGTGCTTGGACTTGACAGGAAGCAATACAGGATGCCCCTGACACGGAATTCTGGCGCACAGTCCCAGCTCGGGGTCGTGCGTTGTGTGCTTTTTCCAGAGCGACACATGCTTGGCACCTGCAAGCTTGATGAGGATCACCGATTTCTCTGTGTTGGCACACAGGTTGTGTGCCTTCAAGAAGTCGAGTAGGAAGGCAACCTGGGTCAATGCCATGGACAGGTGCTCTTTGCATTGTATCTCCCATTGGCCCAGAGTGTCATCTGCGAACAGAGTGAGCAGGGGACGCAGCTCTCCTTGATCAAGTAACGGGCCTAGTTTGGCCATCAGATAGCCAGTGATGCAAGCCCAAATGATAGGGGCCAAACGGCATCCTTGTCGGAGGCCGCGTCCTGTCGCGGTGGATAGGGCCTCTCCCGAGCAAGAAGTGTAGCTAACACGCATGGCTTCGTGTATGCCGACAATGACCTCGACCAGAGAAGTGGGCACGCCAGCCCACTCCAACGACTTAGCGATAAGACACCGGTCGATGGAATCGAAGGCCCTACGTAAGTCAATGCTCAAAGTAAGGCTGCCGCGGATCTCGTGCTGAGGTATACCCCTGCAAGTAGCAAAGACGAAGGTCCACATGACGCATCCTTCTCAGGAAGCCGGACATCATACTGACTTGGCGAGCGGAAGAGCTGTCCGTAGGCAGGTATAGGGGTTGCGCAACGCTTTCGAAAAGGTGGCCCAAAAGCTGCCCCAATCCTACAAGCTCGCGCGCCATCTCAACCATAGCGAAAAGCTCAGACTCCGCACTGGAGAGTGCTACGATAGGCTGGAGCCTCGAGTAAGTCTTGATACAATTCCCATTCAGGTAAATCACTCCTCCGCTGGTGCTCTTCCGTCCAGTAGAGCGCTCAGAGGCCCAATTAGCGTCGCTGAATCCAACGAGGGTTGCAGTCCCAGGTTGAGCTTTGGAGTCCTTCTGAAAGACCTGAACAAGATCGGGAACCTCCAAAAGCCAACGGAGCACTTTACGCATACAATCCTCATGCACAGCGCGCGGACAGGCTTGACCTCTAGACAGCATGGAGTGAAAATAACACAAATCCCCCCTGGTTTGCACAAGCCAGCCTAGTTTCCCTAGGGTGCTTCTAAAGCGGCTCGCGGCTTCAGGGGAGAGCTCTTCGGAGGGCTTCTCGGGGTCTTCCTTGTCAAGGATCGATCGGAGGTCTGGTGGTGCAGTGCAGGGCTTCATCTTCCTGCGGTTCTCCTGGCTCCACCCAAAAGCCTCGAAGATCGAATCGACGTATTCTTTCTTCACAGCCAACAAGATCTCATGGCCACGCTTGATTATCTCACGGCCTAGGAATCCGATCCTGCCGTCCTCATCCAAGCGTCCAGTCAACTTGACCTTAAGACGGCCCATGAGGAAGTCTAGAAGCTGTTGGTTTGCCTCTTTCGTTCTTGTGGCTAGCAAGATGTCGTCGACGTACACAAGACAAAGCACAAGGATGTCTCCCCAATACCCTTTGTACAACGTAGGTTCAATAAGAGAAGGAAACAATCCCAACTCAGCAAGAAGTCCAGCAAGATGCTTCTGCCACGAAAGGCCTGCCGATCTCAAGCCATATATGGCTTTCTCCAGGATGACGTAAACCTTAGAGCCATCAAGGTTCTGAAAGCATCCCGGCAACTCAAGCACGGTATCAAGAACCAACTTGGCATACAAGAAGGCAGTCGAAACGTCAAGTCCCCAAAGGACAAGCGTATCCTGGACAACACGACAGATGAAAGCCTTGAAGGCCTCCACAGAAGCAGTCTGGCTCGCAATGCCCAAGTCAAGCGCCGAAGGTTGATTGAAAGCAAAGTCTTTTGCAACAAGGCGCGCACGCACAATGTGCTGATCGTCAACATCAACCTTGTCAGTGAAGACAAAACGCGACTTAATGATCTTGGCACCTGTCTCCTGGCAGTGGGTCTTAATCTCATCATAGGTGCGGGCGTTGCCGACACCCAAGTTGTGCATAGCAGACACCTCTTTCTGCATGCCAACCCACGTTTTCTCAGGATCCAAAGGCAAGCCACTGACATCATCAACCACAGAAGTGGGCTTGATGACCCACACCTCCCGATCACCGAAAGGCATGGCTACCCCCTCATCGGGGTTACTGTGCTGAGCGGGTGCTTTTCTCTTAAGCTGAGCAGCAAACAAGCCGACCTCACCGTAATCAACAGGACTCAGGTGATGCTTCTGGTCCGGAATCACTGAGAACATGAACTGAGGCATGCTCGTACTGTCAAGGACATCCGGGACCTGAGCAACATCCATGGGCACAGTGTAGTCGTCCATATCAACCTGATCCATCTCAACGTCCCCACCAGGGAGATACTCCTGAGGGAGCTCAGAGTCTTGGGCTGCTTGTGAGGGTTCGGGCACCAGGTGCTGCAGATCCTCAGGAACAGGAGACCCAGGAAGACTGGGCTCGTAGTCCAAGCTCTCTTCTTCAAACTCCACAACTTCAGGGTTCGGGTTGATTTTTACTTGAGGCTTGTCAGGGGCTTGTTGCTGTTCAGGATTGTCAAGATCACCGAGCGTATCCCTGATGTAATCACGAAAGCGAACTTTGCAACGCCTAGAGTGGAAGCGCGATCTACCTAAGCATCCCGGACAACGTGCCGTTTTGTTGTTTTCAAGCCATTCAGGCGCCGGTTGCGGCAACGGGATTGCTTTCCTCGGTAGGGCCACCCCTGGTAGGCTTTCATAATCAGGCTCATCAGGATTAGCCTCGGCGATAGTGGGTAACAAGTTCGACGAGAACGTCACTGGGTAGGCCATCTTGAGAGCCCGGGCGACGCATCTTTTCATAGACCCATTTGAGAGTCTGATCATGCAGTGATGCCCTTGCCCACCAATCACGGGGCCGAGATAGGCACCAATGTCGTATCGACCATCAACTTGTGATGCAAGGTGTTCTGGGGGCTGAATGTACATGATGCAAGCAAAAGGAAACAACAAGTGAGGCGTGTGACTCTCACCCAAAGCTCGCTGCAAAGGACTCAACAGTTGACCTTGTGACGTTCCAAACCGGTTGTGTGAAGCAGCCGCATGGCTGTGAAGCAATTCCATCGCTTCCTCATTTGCCAACAATTTCAAGCCACTCACGCCCTTGGCGTGAAGCTCGTTGGCCAAAGCGGTTTCTTTAAGCGTGCGGATTGCTCTCTCAGCTACCGGGGCGTGCCTGCTAGGAGAGGTTTTGGTAGAAACCGAACTCCCACCTGTAACCTCAACAACCTCGGCTGCTATGGCTGCTAAAAGCGGTTCCCCGTCATGTACAACATGAACTTCTTTGAGACCGAATGATTTGAGGAATTTGACTAGCTTCCCCACGGTGACTTTTCGGTAATCTCCTGCATAGGTAGCAGCTGTGCCTACACAATACGTCGGTACGTGTACCACAGCGATCAAACGGATGCCTCGATACCAGTATTGATCCATCTGCACCTCAAGTGGGTCGACACTTTTGCGTGTTCGGGCGGGTGAGAGCCCTTTAGATCTTACACAGCTAGGACAGCCACCCCAATAGGGGATGTGCCCCTGACGTTGGTGGCGCAATCTAGCTTCAGCACCGAGGTTCTCGGGGAGAGCTTCTTCGGGGTCTACAGGGGGCCTGGTGTTCTGAGGAGCTGTTATCTCTAACCCGTCATGGTCATCACCATCATCACCAAAAAGCTGATCTAGCTCTGCAACACCAACGCCACCACCCACATCACCTGAATCAATCAATGGGCGACCGACCGACATGCACGCTGAGCTACCTACTGGCACGCAAGCTGCAAGACCTAAAGGAACACAAGCTGCACGACCTACCTGCAAACATGCTGGGCAACCTACCTGCAAACATGCTGGGCAACCTACCTGCAAACATGCTGGGCAACCTACCTGCAAACATGCTGGGCAACCTACATGCACAAACTCTCCTACTGCAACGCTCTGCGAAACCACCTTTCGAGCAGTTCTTTTCGCGGGCGGCTCGGAAGAGACCTGACGGCAGTCAATCAAAGATCCTCGTCTGAGGAGATCGTCTCGAACTCCTCCAGGTCGATAACCGGCACCATTGGCGCAGGCTTCGCTGTGAGGTGTGCCGGAGGAGGCACAAATCGTTCCTCTGGCGTGGGCATCTCGATGGTGTAGTGAACGCCCACCACCGCCCGGGGTTTCGGCACACCCTTGGGTGCCCCTTTCGACACCGGTAGCAGCACCCTCTTCGGCAATGGCGCCGGAACCGGCACAGAGGTAGGTCTCGGTGTCGAAGTAGGCCTGGCCCACACCTGAATTGGCGGCGGATAAGGGTGGTACCGCATGTCCATCACGGGCGCCTGCATAGGCACCAACGGCGGCGGAGGTGTGTTCTCCACCTTGGGCGCTGGAGGAGGGCTCGGCATCCTTGTCGAAGCGGCCTTTGCTTGAGCACTGGCCTTTGCTCGAGCCGCGGCCTGTGCAAAGTCCGTCACTTCTCTCTGGCCCAAGAACCCCATCCGGGCACCTTCCATGGCCGAGAAGGGCATATGCCTCGTCGGCACCACAGGATCCACCGCCGCCACCGGAGGTGTTGTTGTTGCCACCGGCTTTGCCACAGGGGCCGGCGATGTCAAAGGAGCCGGGGTTGTCACAGGAGCCGGCGTTGTCAAAGGAGCCGGCGTTGTTGTAGTCGCGCCCTTCGGCGGCTTTGGAATCGCTGCCTTCGGACCCTTCGGCGGCTTTGGAACCGCTGCTTTTGGAACCTTTGGAGCGGCAGCCTTCGGAGCGGCCCTCGGTGGAGGTGGTGCTGTCCAGATGTTGGGCGGCGCTGGCGCGGCCTTTGGCTGACTCTTTGGCGGTGTCTTTGGAGTAGAGGCTGTTGCTGGCCCCTTTGGGGGCGTACTTGGCACCATAGCTGTTGAGCCTGGGGTCTTCGGTGGAGTCACAGGCTGCTGTGCCCCACGTATCGCGGACAACACCCCCTGCCTCCTTTCGCTGGCTCGCTGCCTGAACTGGGCTAGATCCGCAATTTTCTCCTGCATAACGGCGCCCTGGGAGCTGGCTGCGGGCGCACCCGAGCCAGGAGCAATGTTGGAGGCTGTGGTGCTCGACGTTGGTCTCCACCTGCCCCAACACTCGTCCTCGTCCGTCTCCTCCTCCTGTGCTTCCACGCTCATAGGGGCCGTGCTCGGCTCCGGCACGGGAGGTATAGGAGTTGTATCCGGCTCTGGCATGGGTGGCTTGAGAGGAGCCACCTCCCACGCCATGCGTACACAGGAGTAGTCACGACCGGGCTGTCTGGAGAGTCTTGCCTGGCCAGTGCCTTGGCACCAGCCTTCGTAAGAGCGCCGCGGGGAGAAGTCTCCGATCCTGGCAGAATCAACGGACTCGGCGGCTCCACCGGGCTGCTTTCGAAAAGGCTCGCAAAACTCATCGGCGGACTCTCTTCCACCTCTGCTGTCGGCAAGTCCGGCTCTGTGAGGTGAGGAGACAATTCCGGGGAAGAGACCGGAGTCGGCAGCGCCACGTCGTTGGAGAGCTCCGTCTGCTCCGCCGGCAACCTTTGAACCCGGAAGGTCGAGTTCTCCATGTCCTGGTCCTCCATCTCTTGGTCCGGATTCGAACCAGACATCACGCCTTACACACCCTATTTGGCCTTCCGAGCATGAGCGGCTTTGGGCTTCGGGGTATTCACTGCCGGGACCTAAAAGGTGAGAAGACGCAACCGACCGACCGACGCACAAGCTACCTACACTCCTAGATCCTACTTCTCCTAAGGGGTGAGACGAGGCAACCGACGAAACTGCACTGCCTACGCTTCCCTTCTCTTCACTTTGCAAAACAAGCATAGAAGGATCTGGCTCTACATAGGTGCAAGCTTTCAACCACGACGTGTTGGCGTACAATTCTGTCTCAAAGCGCAGACCACCCGGAGGATAGGCTACGTGTAACTGAGGATCATAGTCATAATGAAAGATCCTAAAGCCTAAGGACTGCAAGATGCCTGAGCTAAGGATGCTTATCGAATTGGGGGCAATATACGCTTCCATCTGCACTCGAATCTCTCTGTAAGTTTGGGTTCCAGAGGGCCCCGCTTCGAAACAAGGGAACCAAAGCTCTAGCAACCCATACCTAGTTATCTCCATAGTCTGGTCGTTGGCGACACTTACAAAGAGAGGCTCAACCTCAAGCTCTCGGATCAGCTTCGCAGTCACTCCAAGCATGTCTTGCGAAACAAGGTGAACACTCCCACCGCTATCAATCAAGAGATACGAGGGGTCGTCCCTAGTGACTGCAGGAAGTGCCAAAGTTGGAAAAGCAAGGCACTCTGAAGACCGATCCCGAAGCTGAGGCTGCGGCGCGGAAGCAAGGCTCAAAGCAATCACTGCTACGGCTACGCAAGCATACGTGAAACATGACTGCCGTGGGCTACTCAAGCATGCAACCAACCGACAAATCAAGCATCCTACCATGCAAAACATGAAAAACGTGAAAATCAAGGCAGTCATGGTGAAAAACTGTCCCCTCTCAGGCATTGCTTCAGAAATCTGCCCTGCCGCGGGCAACAGTGACGACATAAGGAGGGCCGCTTTGCCAATCTTCCCGGCACCCTTTGGAGCAGTGGGAGCTGGCGCCGCAGTCGAGGAAGGTGCAGGAGGGGCCACCTTGGGAGCGGCACTCTCTGTTGCCGCCGCTGCTGTCGCAGCAGCCTTCTCATCGGCAATCCTCTTCCTGCACTCGTTGGCCCAATGGCCCGGCTTGTGGCAGTAATTGCAGGTGCCCGGCTTCTTCTTCCCAGGAGCCGGCGTCGAAGATCGGGCCCTTCCGCCCTTCTTGCCACCCTTGCCTTTGTCCTTTCCCTTTCCTCCTTTGTCCTTGCCTTTGCCTTTATCACCATGCTTGCCTTGGTCCTTCCCGTGACCTTTTCCTTTGGGCTCGCCACCCTTGGGCTCACCCTTCTCAGAACGATCAGCACCAAAAGCTGCAAAGCCCTTGGCGTTCGAGGCTTCCTTGTGAAAGTTCAAAACACGAAGCTGCTCATCATAGAAAACCAAACCGCGCTCAAGCTGCTCCAACGTTGTCAAAGACCCATGCAACAAAAGGTACTTCTTGCAATCATCATGAAGGTGCTTCAAGATGCAGCTGATAACATCAGCCTGCTGCAGTTCAAGGTCTGGGTACTTGTTGGCAACGAGCGTGCGGTAGCGAGCAAAATCAGAAATCATATGGCGAAAAATATCCAATGGCCGTCTCAAGTGCTTTGGTGGCGCGATCAAGAGAGCCTGCTCTCTGAGCGCCTGTCCCTCCACACGAGACCTAACAGACAGTTCTTTGTTCAACTCACGCCAGAGGTCGTACCCTGCAGCGGCACCGCCTTGACTCAACTCGACAAGCTTGGCTATGTCAACTCCTCGCTGAAAACCAGCGAGAGCCTGCTTCAAGAGGTACCACAGCTTAGTGGAACGAGCGGCCTTCCCCTTTGAGAGGCTGATCTGCTGAACCTGAACACCGCTCTCCACAGCCTCTTGCAGTTCCTCCGCGTAGCGGTCGTCTAAAAGACACAGCCAGGAGGTCAGTTCTTCGCGGTAAGCGGTCCACGTGGAGATTTCCTCATGGCGCGATCTCATCTTGTCTGCTGCCAACTTTGGCAGGGACGGAATGTAGTTTTCCGCCCTGTTGCTGCGCAAGCCTGTGTCCACATCCATCTTCACAACACCATCAGAGTCAACTCTGAAGGAGCCCAGAGCGTGCAGCAGGCGTCTCTTGGGACGAACTCGCAGCAACGGGTGCTGCACTTGCGGCCGAACTTGCTCGCAACGGCGAGCGTCTTCACCATCTCGGTGAGCTGCGAAATCTGGCCCTGCTGAGCTCGGATCTGTTCATCCTGGGCTTGCAACATCTGCCTGAAAAGGTTGACAGTGTTGTCTTCTGGACTAGGCACAGTTACCTGCTGCGGAATCCCTCCTCCGTGAGGGAAAGCTGGTTGCGGTCCAAAATGAGGCTGTTGCTGCTGCTGAAAACCCTGCTGCAAAGGAACTTGCTGAGGCACCTGTGCAAAAGGCACCTGAGGCACTTGACCTGCACTCGCAAGAGGTCTGGGTCTACTCACAAGCCGGTGTGCTGTCGGACTGTTCCGAGCAGGAAGGGACCTTCCACGAGTCCGCGAGCCAGGTGCACTTCGAGGGGTTGAAGAAAAGCCAGAAGAAACTCCACTGGCACGACTAGCACTCCGCCCCGAACTCCGTCCTCTGGGGAAACGGTTGCGGTCGGGCTCGGCTCGTCGGTCCATGGCTCTGAGGAGCAACCTTGAGCTCCGCTACCACGTTAAAACCCAAACGCGCCTTGAGGCACACTTCTAGGTTTAGAAAAGGAGGTGCAAGCCGACTGACCTTTCCTAAACCCTCGCATGGCCAAGGCCCCCGTAAACTTGTAGATAGACTACCCTACAAGTTTTTGCACATGCCACCCCTCATGTTTTTCGTGTATGCTCCTCCAAACGCTTGCTTGCGGACCCTCCCCCAAATCCTGCCTTGCACATCCTGCCCTAAACTGAGATTCTTCCCTAAACCTCCCCTTGGCATTCCAAACCCTGCCCCGCAGTCCTGCAGCCAAATTCCATTCTTCGTGCGCATTTCCAGTGTTTTGGTGGTCCTGCAGGCCTTCCTAGCCCTCCAGATAATGCCCCCCAAGCCTCCACCTGGCATAGTGCCCGAAATAGTGCCCGAATGAACCCTTCATAGGGCCCAAATACATTTCCTTTCGTAAAAGAAGGAAAATCTTCTTTTTCGCGAAAAATTATTTGGGCACTATGAAGGATTCATTCGGGCACTAGTTTGGGCACTATTTCGGGCACTATTCGGACACTTTTCCGGCACTATTTAAGGCGTCTACTATTCATGCACCGCAGGACTTCGAACACGTCTCCACCTGCCACTTTCGACAAGCTTTACGAGCCCATTTTCGGAGCCCGGAAAACAACAAAAAACGTAGGACACATAACGGTACCCCACAGTTGCGTGGCAAACAACGGTGCTTGAGCAGCACAAGTCCAATCACCAGGGTAGCAACGGAGCGTTTTGATTGATTTCAACAGACGCGGTCGCTCGCAACACTGGTCGCCGCATGTCCAGCAAAACTTTGGTAAAGCTTCAAACACGTCTCCCTCGCAGAATTCCGCAGTTTTTGCTCGGGTTGGTCCCCATTGCAAGGCCAAAAATAGGTTCCTAAAGCTGAGACCGCCTGATTCGAAACTATTGGGGGAAACTCCATTTTGGGATTCGTTTTTGGAGCTCGAAAATGGGCTCAGAATGGATCGAAAACCTTTGGACAAAGGCGCTCCCAATTGGATTCCTTTGCTCGAAAAAAAACAACCTTGCAGCTATGCGCGGGGTCTATGCGTAGTCAGCTTGAGACTGTTGACCATGATGTCTGATAACTACTTGTCATAAATACCACAGCGTGGCAAGCAAGGCGGCAACTGATTATGGGGGTACCTTAATGCATCTTACATTTCGTGGTTTTTCGAACACTGAAAATGCCTCGCGCGATAGTATAATTTTGGATTTATCCACAAATCTTGAAACCTTCCAGACCCCCCGCTTCCCTCAAATTCAATGCTTACAAGAAGCGTCCAATCAGCATTGCGGCACAGATTTTCAATCCTATAATGGTGCCCCTGTGTCGCCAAGGTCAGAAACACTTTCTGTTCTCCTTAGTGAGTCTTAGAGAACTTTAGGTGTAGCTGTGAACGGCAGGAGTGGGAAAAGTTGTCTGTCTGTCGGTCGCTGCGCTCACGCTTCCTGTCTCACCTCGCGGTGAAAGTTATCAGTGTTAGAAGCGTGCCAAACCGGAGTTTTTCCTCACGAGTTTTCACGAAGAATGGTGTTTCCCTGAACCCTGAAGCATGATGAACATCAGAGTGTTGTCAGTTTGTTTGCTGTGAGAGCGGACTTCTAACGAAGTCCGGGAACACCTGGCGTGTAGCAGAGTTGCCAGTGCAGAGAAGCCGTTAGGAGTCCTTACCTCGGAAGTGAGTGTGCTGAAGTCTCTGTCCGCGCCCCGTTTCACTTGGCTCATTGGCTCAAAGCGGGACCGGAGAGGATCTATAACAAGACTTTATAAAGGAGTTATGGTTTTTATCGTGCAGTAGCAGTCAGTCATTGAGTCTTCTTGTTTGTATTCAGCAACCTCCCCCCCGCCCCTTCAATTTCAATGTGTGCCGCAAGTGTGCCGC